TCCTGCACTCGCAGGTGTATGTCCCCTTGTCCACCAGCTGTACCTTCTCAATGTAGAGCATCCTCCCTCCCGTGGACACCACCTTTGGGCTCCCAGGCTGGGCAGAGAGGGTCTCACCTGCCCAGGAAGGGGACAAGAGCCTCTCTCGGATTTCCAGCAGGAGTAGTTCCCACCCAGAAGCTGGACACTGCCCAGCATAAAGCACTCCTTGCTCCAAGGAGACCTGTCTGATGGGTAAACACGTGTGTGGGGAGGGATGAGGCTGAAGAGCAGGACCCTACCATCCTTCTGCCAGCTCAGAGTGGGGAAAGGGATCCCATGGCACTTGCAGGTCAGCCTAACGGACCGGCCCTCCAGCACAGATACGGCAGCAGGCTCCACCGAGGAGAAGGACGGGGGCACTGCAGGGGATGAGAGGAGGGAAGCAGCTCGCTGATGGCACTGGGCAAGAGGAGAGGGGCAGCTCCCTGATGGAGCTCCGTCCTGCTGGCTACACACCACCCGCAGCTCTGCACAAAGAACCAGCAGGCCTCCTGTGCACAGTCTCCATGTGGAAGTAATAACGTTGACCCTCCAGCTATTAAGCGAATGATGCTTTTAGTTGCACGTGGCCAACAGCAGAGCACAACCGAGCATCCCGTGCCAGCCACGGAGGCCGGCCAAGCCCAGGTTGGCCAGACACAGCCTTATTAGGTAGCACTGCTCACTGGGAAGGTTACCTAACTCTTTCCATTATCAGATGCTGTTCTTGGTTGCTCATAAATACAGCTGGCAGGAGAACAGTAACTCCTTCCCATGAGGGATATCAATTCATAAAAGAAAAACCCCAACACCCAGAAACCCCTGAAAAACAAAAACAGCAGAACCCAAACAATCCACCCGAGCCAGAACGCCAGACGTGCAAACGTTTCCCTGGGAAGGGATCGCAGGAACAAGCCCGGATCAGGAGAACTGGATTTACTTCGCTCCCTGGCTACCTGCCTGCAGGACTTCCACCAACTGGCCTAGAGCATCCCTGAGAAAAGCCAGACCCCGGCTCAGCCCCTGGCGCTGCGGACGTGCTGAACAGGCCGGGAGGCTGCAAGGAGGCTCAAATCGAGTGAGCGAAAGCAGCCGGTGCCCATCTTGGCTGCAGCCCAGGAACCACTGCTGGCATCCTCCCGACTTGGGCAGGGGGAGAGAAGGGGCGTGATGCCTGCAGTGACCGCCGCACTGACTACGTGCAAAGGAAGGGTAGAGGAACCGTGGCAACAGCAAGGAAATCCCTTCACCCTCCTGCCCATGTCTTGGAAAAACACCTCTTCCACATTGTCACCGAAATATTTCCAAAGCAAAACTCCTTCAGACACTGGCTTTTTCCCCTCTGACACCTGTGCTGGTGGGGATTCCCTACCACCTCCAGCTGCATCATTTTGCAGAGCTTTAATCACAGAATGGTTTGGGTTGGAAGGGACCTTAAATCCCCCCCCGCTCCACCCCCCCTGCCATGCACATGGACACCTTCCACTAGATCAGGCTGCTCAAAGCCCCATCCAACCTGGCTTCAATATTTTGGGCTTCGTATGTTCCAAGCCAGACAACTACCCCAGGTACATACTACATATATAAACAAATGGTATAGTGTGTAGTAAATATGTGTATATATACACACACGTTACATTTTCCCCTGGTGAGCTATTTGTCACAGTGCCCTTACCCCACACGTCGAGGTTGTAGTGTTTCTCCGGGTGGCCGGGCGCCTGGCACGTGTACCTGCCCGCATGCTGCACGGCGGCTCGCCCGATCTGCCGGGGCAAGCAGAGACACTCACGGGCTCTGCAGCAGAGCTGCAGCCACGCAGCCTCTCCGTGGGGGAAATTTGTGTCAGCAGAAGCCATGGGGATAGGATGAGTGTAAGGGGTGGGAATGGCATTGAGCCATGGGCAGCAGGGAGGGACACCCCCTCCCTCTACACCCACTCTCTCCCAAGGGTGGGCAGGGTGTGATGAGGGTCTTCACAGCCCAATTTCTCCTCCCATACTCCACAATACTCCAAAACGTCACCTGGAGCACAGTTCCCTCCGCATACAGCTGCACGCCCGGCTTTGGTGTGAGCACGTTCCCGTCCTTCAGCCAGCGGGACCCCTGAGGAAGGACTCCAGGGGCCAGGCACTCCAGGGTCACCGACTGGTTGACGATGACAGACACGTTCTCCTCCTCACCCAGGGTGGTGGGGGGCACTGGAAAACAGATTGACAGGGCAACAGCCTCCCTGAGCCATCCCCTTCGGTACCACTCCCCAGGGCTGGTCCCCTACAGCCCCATGAACTTGCAAGGGGACGGCGGAGCAGCCCCACAGTCCCCAGCATCACCTCCAAGCCCACAGCCTCACTGGTGGGAAGGGGCCAGGGATGCACAGGGGTACTTACGCTGCACCTCGAGGGCGGCCTCCCATCTGTCCTCCCCCACGGCACTGCTAGCTACACACGTGTATGTCCCCGAGTCCTGAACACGAGCGGCGGGCAGGGAGAGCACATGCCCACCGGAGAGGATCTGTGCTCCCCCAAGAAGCAGAAAGAGCCCAGATGAGCACAAAACCAGAGAAATAAGCAGGCAGCTGGGCTGCAAGTAGGCATGCACTAACAGGTGTGGGCGAGCACAAGCCTGCCTTCAGCCAGTCACCATCACATCCTGGGGACCCTCTGCCCATCCGTGTCCCTCATGGCAGGAAAACCCAGCCCAGGGCTGAGCAGGTCCATGCTCCCATGGACCAAACATGGGGTAGGTCTGGGCAACGTTGCCCCTGGTCAGCTCCAGCAATAGTTTATTTATAAGCCAGAACAAGGAAAAGGAGCATTCTCCTGGAGGGACACCCCCAGCGAGCCCCCTCTCCATCAGGAGCTGTCTCACCTGCGGGCCACCCACCACCATGCTGGGCACCAGATTGCCATCCTTCAGCCACAGCAGCTCCGGGGCTGGTGTCCCTGTAGCATCACACTCCAGGGTCACGGGCTCATTCACCACCACCGCGAGGGGGCTGGGGCCAGCTGTGATCTGTGGGGGGACTGGGGAGGGCAAAGAAATGTCAGCAGGTGCAGCAGGGTGCACAAGGGACAGGGTGGGTAGGAGACACCAAGGTGTGGGCCAGGCAATACCCACCCATGGAGCCACTGTTTTCTACGACATTATTTGGGATGAACACAGGGGATTGCATGGCTAGAATTGGAAATGAGGACATGCTGAAGCACTTGAACAGGCTGCCAAGGGAAGTGGTGGAGTCACCATCCCCAGAGGTGTTCAAAAAATGTGTAGATATGGACATGGTTTGGCAGGCATGGTGGTGCTGGGTTGACGGTTGGACTTTATGATCTTAGAGGTCTTTTCCAACGTTAATGATTCTATGATTCTGTGACAGGGGGTCTGCTAATGCCATCTTCCAGGGATGTGTCCCGAGGGCTGGGACAGCCCCGTTGGTGCGATGCACACATGTAAGGTGCCAGGGGTAAGCACCCAGCTCTCAGGCAGCAGCAGTCCTTCCCCCACTCACCACAGACTCACCGGTCACCTGCAGGCTGTACCAGAGCTCGGTGACACCGGCCACGTTGGAGGCCACGCAGCGGTAGCTGCCGGTGTCGGAGAGTTGGGCACGCTGGATCTCCAGGTGCTTCCCATCCTGGGACAGAGTCCAGCCTGGTCTGGCCGAGAGCGGATCCTGGCCCTTGTACCAGGCGATGTCTGGAGGGAAGTGGAGAGCCAAGCTGTAAGGAGCAATGCTGATGCCCCCTCTCATCGAGGGGACCCAGGAAAAGCCCCAGAGACGAGTGAGCAAGAGCTGAGGGAAAGGACTGACTCACTGGGAGCAGGCAGCCCCGATGCCAGGCACTCCAGGGATGCTGTGCCATTCTCCAGGACGGCCAGGTCCACCACGCTGGGCTCGATGTTTGGAGGCACTGCAAGCCCACATGCACAGTCACCAGCTCTGCAAGGCTCGAGCCAGCTGCAGGTGCACAGTGCAGTGCTGAGGGGCATGGCTGGGCACACCGGGGGCTCTTGGAACGCACCGAGTCCTCTGAGGGCTCACTCCCCACTTTGTGAGGGGACCAGATCACCATGCAGTGCCACTGCTGCTTCCCATGTCAGCCAGCAGATTTGTTCGCCACCCCAATGAGCTATGCATCCTTCCCAGGAAGGGACCTCCGCTCCCTGCCTGGGTTCTCACCCGGCACCTTCAGGTTACATCGTGCGATCCTGATGAGGGGTGCTCTGGCCAGAGGGGAATGGATCTGGGGGTAGACCCTCCACCAGGAAGCACCCATCAAAAGATGGATGGTATGGTTTACCATGGTGTCAGTGGCCATCAGCTCTCAGCCTTGCTGGCAAAGTGCAAGATCCCAATGGATCAACCTAGCGACACTACACCTCCCCAGAAGCAAGGCCAAGAACACCCTCCCTTTGGCCAGCCACACCCTCCCTGACACGTGGGATGGATAGCAACTCTTGCCCCAGATGCTGTACTCACCTTGCACTGAAACCTGCACCTCTGCCTGGGCCACCCCTGCCCAGTTGCTGCCCCGGCAGATGTAGAGCCCTTCGTGACGAAGACCCACATGGGTGATCAGCAGGGTCTCACCATCCTCAGATGCCACCACACCATCCCGCTCACCCAGTGGATGCCCATCCTTCAGCCACCTGCAAGGAAGGGGACAGGCAGCAAGTCCCTGGTCTGTCCTGCCACCACCCACTCCCCATTTCTGCCCACCAAAGGAGTGAACAGGGGGCTGCTGGCAGCAAGGACCATCCCCTTGTCACCTGAAAAGGGGCTAGCAGTGCCCAGATCATTGGGCAGAGCAGGATCCCAGGGACAAGGAGCAGGAACAGATGCCTCCCATCCTAAGGGACGCCCCAAGCCAGAGGCCACGATCACCCGTCCCGAGACCCCACCCTGATCTCTGCCACAGCTTTGCATGCTGGGCTGCAAAGCCCTTGCCCCCAGGAGTTCCACAGCCCCTAAGGGAGCTCAGGGGGGGATATGGGCAGGACCCACCGCTCTGCAGTACTCACTGGATGCTGGGTGCAGGGGTGCCCATGGCACGACAGTGAATCCTCAGGGATTCATTGGTGACAGCCGTCAGGTGGCTTTCCCCATCGCCGATCAGCAGCTGGGGGGGAGCTGGGGGGAAACAGGACCTCAGGCGGGGACCACCCTCGGACCCTGGCACAGGGATGCGGGAGCAAACAGGAGCTTGGAGAGTGCAGGACCCTGGTGATTCCCAGAGCCCATGGGAAGAGCATTTTAACCAGCGGACGTGAACCTTGGACTTGCAGGCTGTAGCTGAGCGAGGCGTTCCCAGCAGCGTTGGTGGCCGTGCAGGTGTAGAGGCCGGTGTCCTTCACCTGGGGCTTGGCCAGCTGGAGGGATCCTGAAGGGAGGATGCTGTACCTTGGGGGAGAGGGAGAAGGAGAGCTGGATGGGAGGAACAGCCATGCCCTCCGTCATCTACCCCTAGGCAGCAGCTAATGACCAAGAGCTCACCATCACCTTGAGACAGTCAGGAGAAGGTCCCCACGGCCAGCTCCTGCACAAAGTCTGCAGCAGGGCTGCCCATGGGTGTGAATCCCCTTTGTTCAGCTCCTGTGTGAGCTCAGCGCGAGGCAGCAGTGTGAGCCACCCGCCCGGGGGGACGAAGGGGAACAGGGGTCCCTGCGGAGCACAGCCCCTGCAGCTGGAGCTGGCCCTGCTCTCGCTCCCAGCACTGTCTGTACTCCACAGACATAACATCATCTCAGCCCACGGCTCCAGATTCCTCTCCATGTGCTCCCATAAATCACCCGGGCACATGAGGACAAGCCAGCTCAGATGTGGGGAGCAGCACAAGTCAACCAGGAGCAGCCATGGGCAACCAGACAAGAACGACAAAGCAACACAGTCCCTCAAGAAGAGCAAAACCAAGATGCCTGCTTGAGCTGCAGCAATCCTCAGGTGTAGGGAAGGAAGGGATTAAAGCTGAGAATGAGGCCCATGATTTTAGGAAGCCCTTCCAGCATGGTGCTAATATACAGAGAAAGCAGGTCCCACTTCCAAGGGGTAAGAGCAAGGTACTCAACAAATACATATCCAACCACTCTCCAGGTTATCTTCTCATCAAATGGCATTAAATGACTGTCCCATTGCTGCCATCGGCCTCAAACCCATCAACAAGTGAATTTGGCCCTCCAAAATTCACCCACTGGAACAGAACTGGCCTTTAAACCCACATCCCAGCACAGACAAAGCCACCCTGACCTCACAACTGTGTTTCTGCCAAACCTTGGCTTGGGCTCTGGAGCATTTCAATGCCTATAAAGCCCACAAAGTCACCCCAACACACAGGCTGCGAGGGGCAGCGGAGGCTGCAGGACCCCCAGTCTCCCTGGCTGCCCACCCTCCTCTCCATGCTGCTCTCCTCCTCCTCCAGACCTCAAATCTCCTCCACCTCCTCAGTGTCCTGCAGCCACACAGGTGTGGAGCAGCAGTCAGCCCCGGTCCAACACCTCCCACATGACCTACCATCCACAGACATGTCCATGGCCTC